ACTTAGTGGTAACCAAATGTTCTTAAAATGAGTTTAGGTCAGGTCTGAGCATCTTCGAAGGAGTAAACCGCGTTTGTCTACTCATTAACAGGTATTATGCTAATATGACTAATGGTTATCTAAAGGTGGGTTTAAGTGAGAAGAAAAGCTGTTTAGACTTGCTTTTTATACTTTATCTAAATATAATTTACCACATACAATTTACAATGTAATGCTGTCAAAACTTAAGCAGTGACGTCACGTCTGCGAAATATTACGTGTTAATGGAAACCGCGTCGTAAATGTCGTAAATGTCGTAAATGTCGTAAATGTCGTAAATGATTAGTTCAAAGTTATTTGCCAATAATTACCATAGTTAAGTCATGATAGATTAAAATGTAAATGTAAAGTAAAACAAAAGGTTATTTTGTTCCTTCTACTTCCGCCAGAATCCACTACGTGTGTGTAAGTCACTTGGTTTGAAAACTACCCTTCAGCAATATTAGGTAACACATGTATTTTGCTATATCCAATTACCAACACACTATCGACAAAACCAAACGGAAAAGAAAAGCACTATATAAATTAAGAAAAGGAGGAGCGAAAAGATTAAAGTAAATTCAACAAGTTATTTTTTTTATTACACTCTCTGGCAGTTGATGGCGCAAGAAATTCTTGATTTGTCTATCCAGCCCGGGCTTAAACGAGTGCGTCCACACAGTAAGTTGTTTGATTTGTGAAACATGGAGCCGGCTGTTATAGATTGTGTCAAGATAACTAAAAAAAAAAAAAAAAAAAAAAAAAAAATGGATTTAGAGGTTTAACCGTTCATAAAATCTGTGAAATTATGTGTAAAATAGCTATGGATTATTATAAACTCTCTATTTAATAAATACACATTTAAAAAAAAAATGTATTTCGTCACTTAATCCAACAAACACATGAGTTAATTTGGAAAAACACAATCTAAACCTCACCTATATAAACAATCAGTACAGAAAACATGATTCCAACATAACCTTTCATAATCTCAAAAACCAAATGGCTCTACTGGAGATTCAGCCGTGATCGGCTCGATACTTCTGAGATAGATATTCATTGAGTATTGTGCCACATGAGACTAATGCTGTAATCAAATGTAATGTTATGGTATCGATTTTTCCCCCTCTTAAGTATTTATTATTGTTTTGTTTCATAACGCCACCATAAGGCTTTGATGGAAACGAAAAAAAAAACAAAAAAAACAAAAACAAACAACAAACAACTAATGTAAGGTGGAACAAAAATAATTGAAAGCTGTTGACTCGCCAGAAAGAAGCACTGTGTTGTACAGATACGACTCAGAGATTCGATCGTTGAGAATATTGCCAGATCAAGATTGAGCACTTTCGCACCAGACATAACACAAACAAAACAGTGTCGGTATCATACACATATGGAGTAGGCATGCATCCCGGTAGTGGATGTCCGTGTAATTAATCCATTTGTGCTGAGCATTATGATAATGATGGATGGGTTGTGATGTCGATAGAGATAATTGCGGTCTGACCTCGTTAAAGATAGGCAGTGTGACCCTGTGTGTCTTTCAGGCATCTGTCCTGGAGGGCACTGCCCCCCCCCCTCCCAGGATATTTTCCGAACACTATGTTTAAAACAATATAACGATTTATTTATTTTAAACCCACCTCTTCCTACCCCTCCTATTTAAATATATATATATATATATATATTATTTTTGGATGTACTATTTTTCGATCGGTTAGCATAGTTTTCGTAAGACAATTTTAACGATCTATTCCAAACTGAAAAAAAAAAAAAAGAAATCAAGATAATGTCTCATCAGACTAAGGTGATTGATATCATTTAATACATGAGGCAGATCAATTAACACTGGTTTATTACTTGTGTCCTTTCAATCTACTTGAGCTTAATCACAAGCCGAACTACCCATTATTACATTATATTATAGCGTTGTAGGATGCCGTTGTTTAATTTAAACAAAATGTCTGAAATGAGTTTGCACAGTGTTGGAGTTTAATCTGGTCAGCAAATAAAAGCGTGTTCTCATCCCATTATATTTATTAACATTTCTTTGCTTTCAAAAAATATTTTAAAAAATTAAAGCCTTTTCGAGTACGGTAATTGTGTTTTTTTTTTAAATTTTAAAGAAATTATGTCCATTTCTTGTTGAGCACTCTCAATTTTTTGTAAACTATAGAGGTCTCTTTCATGACTTTTTGCCCTGATGCCCTATCACACAGTCAGATCCCCTCCCTTGAATGCACCGAGCCACACAAACAGCAAACATCTCCTCCATTCACCTCCCAACAATATGTATGTATGTATGTATGCATGTTTGCATGTATGTAGTCATTTATGTATGAATGCATGTATATTTATATGTATGTATGAATGCATGTATGCATGTATGTATGTGTGTATGTATGTATGTATGTAGATTTGTATATTTCATAATATGTATGTATGCATGTATGTATATATGTTTGTAATCATGTATGTGTTTATTTATTTATTTATGTGTGCATGTATGTATTTATGTACGTACGTATTCATGTATTAATGTATGCATTTATTTATTTATTTATGTGTGTATGAATGTCAATTCAAAGCGCGAGGACTGCAGTTCAATTCCAAGCCGAAGCATAGAAAGACGAAAACAGCATCAGCTCCCTAGGTGGTTGAGACTATTTAATCTTAGGTGGGTACTCATCTAAGATAAGGCAAACTCTGAAATCAAAACAAAGAGATGGAGTCCCCTATGCGGTGCGACATTCATACATAAATGCAGGTAAGATCACGGAAACACACCAAAACAACACTGCTGTTCAGCTACTGCATTTTGGTCTATTTTCAATTATCTTGCCATTTAAATGAAATCTGCAAGAATGAGAGAGTGGGGCTGACGAGGCATGTAGAATTTTACTCCCAATTTTTCTTAATAATTAAATTACCCAAGTGAAATCTAGTTTTTGCTAATGCGCTAACGGATGTATGTGGAATCCAGACTATGCTGATGTCGTAACATATTTGTATAAAATCTAGTTTATCATAAAGTCCTTGAAGATTTGTGTGAAATGGTGGTTTAAGCTAATTCTCTCACAGGTTTATGTAAAAGGCTAGTTGATGCAAATGTTCCAACAGTGTTGATTTGTCAATTTTATCACCTCTATTGATATCTCTAATTTGTAGTTTCGCATGCACAGCGGCCATCTCATGATAACGACTAGCCTTAAAACAGAAAGATCCACGCCACCTTAGTAAAGCACGTTAAATTTAACGATTACTCTTTTAGGGATACGTTTATTCGATTACTGCTTAACATACTTATAACTTAATATCGATTCTCACTATAGAAAACCACATGGAAATAGGCTGTGGGAGAAAAGCCAAAGGGATTCTCGATGTGGTATAATATAGACTACGGCTTTCTTCATCGTTGGGAAAACGGAATAAAAATGATAAGTTGAAATAAATCATCTTTAAATATCATGTAAAACTAGCTGGGGGTAAACGCAACAACGGTGATTGAGTAAAATAAGGAGAACCAGTGCGTAATCTGTAATATTATTTCCAGTTGTACCAAACTTTGAGAGTTCTTTAGCTCACGTGGACTGTGTACCATGCTACTTTTTAACCTTGTCATAAAGCCTGGGACCCTTGTCCTTATCGGTTATTTTTAGGGCAAGCTATTTTATCAGTTCTGTGTTAATGTTAATGAAAAAAGTATTTAGAGGGGGGGGGGGGGGGGGTTAAACCTCGTTTCTGAAACTCAATTACGTCGACATGTGTCCTCTAGTGTTCATTTGGTGCGTACGTGATCAAGCGCACGACGTGGGAAGCAGCGAATGATGGCGTATCATCTTTCCAACTAAAATGAAATAATCTGTTTAGTGGTGGGGTTTATCATGATTATAGTCTCAATGTTATAGTTGTGCGTATGAATCTTTAGTGGAAAAGTGTGCCATCCTCTAGTAGTTGCTTCAATGCCCCCTGCTTTACCCGTGTGGGAATAGGTGGCGCTTTCAATGAAAGAACGGGACCAAAAAAGAGTTATATAAAGTTTCGCCAAAATCCCTTTTGTTTTGGTGTGTTTCCGTGATCTTACTGCATTTATGTATGAATGTCGCACCGCATAGGGGACTCCATCTCCTTGTTTTGATTTCAGAGTTTGCCTTATCTTAGATGAGTACCCACCTAAGATTAAATAGTCTCAACCACCTAGGGAGCTGATGCTGTTTTCGTCTTTCTATGCTTCGGCTTGGAATTGAACTGCAGTCCTCACGCTTTGAATTGACATTCATACACACATAAATAAATAAATAAATGCATACATTAATACATGAATACGTACGTACATAAAAACATACATACACACATAAATAAATAAATAAATGCATACATTAATACATGAATACGTACGTACATAAAAACATACATACACACATAAATAAATAAATAAATACATACATACATGATTACATACATATATACATACATGCATACATACATATAATGAAATATACAAATCTACATACATACACACATACATACATACATACATACATACATACATACATACATACATACATACATACATACATACATACATACACACATACATACATACATACATACATACATACATACATACATACATACATACATACATACATACATACATACATACATACATACATACATACATACATACATACATACATACATACATACATACATACATACATACATACATACGTACATACATACATACAAACATACATACATACATGCATAGATACAAAAAGACAGACATCACCTCCATTTATAATTGCTTTCCTGAAATGTTTTTTTCCAGGAACTTGTTTAAAAGTTGAAAATATATTTTTTTATTTCAATTCAAAAGCCTTATCCCAATTGTTTCTGTCACTCATGCAACGAGTCCTATGATGTATCCCACCAATAATAATTCTATGACCTAGAAGATGTCCTCCCGTCTTGCAAAGGTTTCATGTCTCTGCCTGTTATCTTGGTACTTCCTAGATAGTTGTCTTTAAAGTTATCTACGCTCTTAAATGTAATGTTTCGATTTTCTGGCCAGAGAGTTTTAGCATAAACTTGACAAACTGACTGGTAATGACTTTTTTCTGAGGGACTTTGGAGGTGAGTGGTTATGTAACTGTGGTCAGGGTATAGCATGGCTATAGTAAGTACTTGTTCCTGATAGAGTTTAGATGTAAATGGTAATGTAGAGGTATCTAGGATATAGCATTGCTTAATTTGGGACTGGTTCCTGGTGGAGTTTTGAAGTAAGTACATATGTAGAGCTAGTCAGGGTAAAGCATTGCTAAGTTGAGACTGGTTCCTGCACTTGCAACTCAAGCAAAAGAAAAAAATTGTTAAGGGGGAGAGAGAGAGTCTTTGTTGGAAAAAACGAAAAAGGTTCGAGTTTTAAAAAGAAAATCAGCTCACCGAAATGATATATGCATGCTGAAGAAATGGTGTGGGACTTCCTGGAATCAATGTGACGTCGACTTGAATTTCGCGTCGTCTATTTTGACGGATGAAACCAGGAACACCAAATACGTTTGGCTGATTTGGGTTGACATCCCTAATACAGTCCTATTTTGTCAAATTTTAAAATCATCCTTAGCAGATGCGTGGAATTACAGAACAGATATATTATATAACAAATTTACTAACAACTTGTTCATATAAGGGACTGATTATTCGAGTTAAAGTTTTTAAAAAAATATACAGCGCTTATTAAAAATTAATTGCAAGAAAAACGTTTTGATAAATATCGCTTAATACCACTTATGTATATGATTTTTCATTTTTTTTTCAAAAAGTTTTTATAAACGGTAGAGATTGTTGAAAGCTAAAATTGTTCTATGAATTTCCTGTATGGTGCATGATGAAATTGTATCTTCCTTTAAAACAAATAATTAAGTCTGATTTTCTCTCTCTCTCTGTATCTCTGCTTTTTCTCTTAGCATCTCTGTCCCTCCCTGTGTCCCCTTCTCTTCCCCCTATTTCTCTCTCCCCCTCTCTCTCCAGATAAATAACAATACAATTTTTTTTGTTTTTTTTTAATTGCTGTAACAGACCATGTTTGCTCACGAAACCAATGAGTCAGAGAGGTGGCATAATTTGAATATTGAACTATGTGAACGTGTATTTTTCACGGAGAAAGAGAGTAAATTATGTTTTTGAAAAGCGGAAGTGAGTGGCATGTTTTGTTGAGTGATCAGGGGCAGTACATCGGATGTCGTAGTTAAGTGAGGACTTGGTTGTTTTTCTGAGAGGTGAATTTTCTATACCATGGAATAATATATATATATATATATATATATATATATATATATATATATATATATATATATGTATTTTTTTTTGAGAGTTGTTTTTTTTATATTATATGATTATATATATATATATATATATATATATATATATATATATATATATATATACATATGTGAAATAATTGCATTGTTGATGTTTTTAACTGGACATTTATGCAAGGATTCTTCTTAATATTATTATTGTAAAAGACGACGTAATAAAGTACTGTGAGTTTAATTGGAAATTAATATACTTCTTTGTGTGACTGGCTAAGTGAGTGAAGGAATGGAAGAAGTATTACGCTACTCAAGCCGGCATCCTGAATCATTAACATAGAAGCAGCTAACCATGCTACTGACACAACACCCTAATAAATAGCATGTCAGAAGCAATGTGTTACAATGTATTGTTTAAAAATAAATCAATGGACGTCTATGTTTAGACACAGAAGCACTTTATGGTAGAAACAGGTGGTGCGCGCATCCTTGCCTTTGAACAACTTGAAGTAGGTTGGTTGTTCAGTAGGTGGGTACATACGAAAATAAGCCACAGATATACATACAAACACTCATACATGCACACACACACACACACATACGCACACATGCATACATTACACACACACATACATATATAGATTATGAAACTAGCTTTTCAATGTCTAATCTCCAGCTACAAATGTTTCTCTTTTAAAAATTAACGTTACCTTAAATTCAAATTCTTTATTTGCCTTTGTAAAATCTGCACATGCTAGAGCATCGTGTTTACAACAAACATTTTCCATACAAATATTTCACCTTCAACCTTTCTTATCAAGCCTCTTTTTTTTTTTGATGGGGAATTCCAAAAAAAAGTTTCGGTGATTCTTCAAATGTGACGCGTATAGTTTTCCCCAGAAAATTAAGAGCCTTTTCATTTGATAAATTTTAATGTTGAGATAAGAATATAACTATATTAGCGTGCGTTCCTCTCACTCGTATATTTTTGCTACTTGATAGTGGAACGTAAGTCTGTTTTAAATTATTTTTAAAAAAAAAAGGTAATGTGCTTTTATTTAGAAATGTTTTTATTTTTTAATGCAATTTTCATTTTCAGTTTCCGCACACAGATGAATATTCTTTTAAAAACAAATATTTATAATTAAACACAAGACATATAAGAGTAATTACCATGCACAAAAATCAACCGAATGAAAATTACTTATCTAAAACACCTTTTCGTAAAAACTGTATTTAAAAATTTAAATTTAAAAATTACTATAATAAACAAAGAAACCCAAAACTTGTACTTGTTATATCAGTTAACATTGGATTTGTTGATAATAGAAGATCAGGAAGGGGATCGGTGAGATGTTAATAATTTATACATTGATACAGCTTGCATTTAATCAACTTATGCGAAAGTCCCCAACCCCCAGGGATAAAGACAGTAATGACCCAGTTTTATGCAGTGAGAAGGCCAGGAGTTTGGAGTTTGACAAGTCTGTCCCACGCATTTTAATAGCATTACTCTCTTGCAAGTGCCAGATTTTAGGGGTATCATCACCTACTTAAGAAATTACATCCAGGGCTACCCGACGCATCAGCTCACAGATATGCGAAACGTGAATTTGTTTGGTGCCATGATGAACAATGTACAGTTTTTGATAAATAGCCACAACTTTGATCTATTATTAGAAAAGACAATACTCCTATACCGTTGCCACCGGAAATTTCTAAAGCGACCCTCCTTGATGGTGATAAAAGAATGACAAAACCACTGGAAATGCGATAGAAAAGACAGCGTATCTACAAATCTATTCATTGTACAGAACAGTCGACACTCACTTTTTCTCCACAGAATTCATAAGTGCACTCCTCATACATGTCCTAACCATCCACATTTCTCTGTATCACTGGAATTTTGGGACTTCCGCTTAAGTGTTTCTTTGTGCGTTCCAGAGTCGTAGTCTTGATCAATTCTAAACTGATCACTCTACAACAGCTTTATTTTGGGATCATTGGTAATTATAAGGTAATTAATTAATATTGCTTCTGTAGAGTAACTCATTTTGATATCCCAGAATTACATTACGTCATCATTAGATTTCCCGAAACGCTCGAAGCAAAGACAAAGGGGGAATATATTTTCATTTCGTCGGAAACGTTGAACGGTTTGGGCAAAATGCTCTTCTGAATTTTGAAATAATTTCACTCAAAGGCAATTGGCGCCCTCGATGTATGCCCACTTCCCAATAAAACTCACAGTAAATGTGGCCATAGTTGGCAATTTTGGCCCTTATTGGCCTAGCTAGAGTACAACGGCCATCGTTGAGCGAAGAGTTTTTTCTGTACTCAGTTCCACGATACAAACGCTGCATTTTTCCAAAACATGCCACCCTCCATATAAAGAAAGAAGTGACACAGTTTGGACAAACCCTCTGGTCCCTTTTCCTACGCCACTGTCATTGCCCAGACCTGAAGAGCCCCCCCTCCCCCTTTTTTCGAAAGAAATCGTCTGAAAACACCCCCACTGCATATGATCCCACAACTTTATAAATATAAGCTCATTGAATAAGCTCATTCAAAATGTATATTTTACATTTGCAAACTTCATCAGGTTATTTCTTACTACAGTGTATTTTAAAAATCAATCAAGCAAAACATCTCGTTTATGTTAACTTTATATTTTAAAAATAAATATTTAATTTTACTTCCTCAGATTCTTGTATACAAAATGGGAAACGAGCAGTCTAAAACAGAACCCAGTATTGTGAAAAGAGAACGCACTATTTCGAAAAAAGAACCCACTATCTTGACTCCTCCTACCGAAAGATTACCAGTCAAAACAGATTCCACATTAAACTACCTTCTCATGGGAAAAGTAGCGAATGGGAAAAGTTCCTCTGGCAATGCTTTAGTCGGTGAAAATGTTTTCCAATCTTATAACGCAACAACTGCGGGCACCAAATGTAATTGGCGTTACTGTAATAAACACTTGGGAAGAGACATTTGCGTCGTTGACACACCTGGTCTATACGACACTGAACACATGAACAGCAATATTGAAAATGCAAGATTTGCAAGAAAATATTTGACCAAAGCGTTTCAGCTGTGCCCTGAAGGCTTCCATGCATTGCTGATTGTTTTGAATGTTACCAATAAATATAGCTCCGAAGACAAGAGCGTGATTGAGTTACTAACAGAAATTTTTGGAGAGATTATGTTTGATTTCACAATTTTAATCTTTACACATGGAGACAACTTTGATAATGAATATAATTTGCTTGATGCTGACAGGAGTCAAGAAGTTTTTAAATCATGGTGTAGACAACAAGCAGGTGATCTTGGACAATTGCTAAGTAAATCTAAATACAGGGCTGTTTTGTTTCATAACACAGACACATATGAATTACATAGAGATGTGGAGTTACTTGCCTTAGATAGTGAAGTCCAGAAAATATCAAGTAAAGTGGGTCGATATACAGAGAGAACTTTTCAAAGAAATGAACGCAAGAGAAAACATATTATATTGAATTATTATCTACCTGAACTTCAAAAAGAAATTAATGAAAAATTGCTAACTCTGAAGAAAGAACTTCAGCTAATTGTATCAGATGGAAAAACAATTACAGACAAGGCAAAGGATGTTTTAGAAGCTATAGATAAGCATGGATCTAAGTACCCTACACTAGATACTTTGAAGGAAAGTGTGAAAAATATACAGAATAATTTTAGACTTCAAACCTCCAATCAAGAGAAGTTTCACCTTGTCACTAAAACTCAGGAACTTATCGATGGAAATGTCCTTTTTGAGCTTAGGTCTCTGAGTGATTTCATTGATAACATCAGAAATCCTGAAAAACACAAAGAGGAAATGAAAGATAAAGCGAAGGCTCTTGCTCGGTACGTAGACGAAGAAGATCTTGGAACGAATAAACTCGATGACCTGAAAAAGAAAGTTGAAATGTTTCTACTTCAAATTGATGATTTAGATACGAAGGGATCTGGCACTCTTACAGAAATGAAATAAGTACTTAAGGTTTTAGTCGTGGTTGGTTTAAAATGTAATATTTATTATGCATTCATTTTAGTAAGTACCTGTATACAATCCCAGCTTGTAAATTGAAGTGCAATACCCTGCAAAAGACTAGACAAGCAAAAACCTCAACAGCACCTAGGGTAGAGAGGACTCGTTAAACTTGAATGGCAAGTAATCTAAGAGAATGCAAACTCTAAACTCAAACCCAGAGATGGAATCCCGTAGGCTGTATGACATTGACGTAATGAAAATTCTGACAACTCCTGCTACTTGGAACGCGTAAGGAGGAAATTGAGACACAAGAAAAAAGTTTTGGAATTAGAACACAGGCTTATACGAGAGGGTGAAGATATCGAAATTGAGCATGAAATAAAATACAGCTCTAGTTAAGGTTACTGCTGAAGTCGATGCCTTGTTCAAATTTGCATGCAAAGAATGAACGATACATGATACCTTTAGAAAATAACTGTCCTGAAATTTTAGTCAAAAATTGCCTTGTCATTAGCATGTTCCATAAACTGACAGCGCTTCTTTTGAATAAAGGGCTCTAGATGGTCCACTACTTTGTCAAGAGTAAAGCCTTTAGTCTGGAGATTCTGCTGTGTAAAATTAACTTCCTCAAGTAACACTCTCTTAATCAAGCAGATAAACCTGACATCCCAGACAGCATGTAATAGACGTTGTGCTGTATGACTACCATGCTCAGATTTTAAGGGGCGGGGCTATTGACGAAATGGCAAAAATATTATTGTTTGAGTATTTCTGGGCTGATATATTTGGTTAAAAAATTATTTTAAAAAAAAAAAAAAAAATTTTTTTTAAAGTTAAAAACAGTGGTTATTTTAGCCTCCGGTTTGATTTGATTTGATTGAATACTTACTTATATAGCGCTAAATATCCATGCTATTTTGTCATGCTTACTGCGTTCTCAGCATCCGGGACGTAGCAGGGGTTGTAGGAATGATTCATTGTTTCGATGTTTGCCTAGTGTACGGGACACCATCTACGGTTTTGAATTTAGGGTTTCCTTCTCTTAGATGATTTTCCGACCAAGGTTAGCGAGTCCCATCTACCCGCGGTGCTGGAATTGAATTCCAGACAACCAACTTGAGATTTACTCAGTTTAGACCACTCGACCACCCAGTACCAGTGTAATCAATTCCCCTGAGAGCAATGTCATAAATGGGATTCTTTGTTAAATCGTAACGACGATAAGTTTTTAAAAAAGAGGAAATCAATTATACTTTTCTCAAACAGGGAACAATATATAATTTTTAGTATGTGTATTTGTTTCAATAATCTAATATAAATGAACGCTGGCACAATAGGTGATGTTTGTTTTTAAATTATACGTTCGCTTACATATAACCTACATTATTCTTTAAATAAAGAAGTCTTTATCGGGTTTGTATGAATGACTTTAAATATGGTCAATATTGTTCTCGCCAAGTCGATTAATTGAAAGTGTTTATGTGAAATATATTTATTTTGAAATGTCTTTAGATGCACTTGATTAAGGTAGAATTTCATTCATTGTTCTGAAATGTATTTTAAATTCCAAATAATGTACATATATTATTACTTTTTTAATAGTACAATGTATATCATTTTATTTGAAATGTATAGAAACGTTTTTGAAAAGAAAAAAATAATGTTATGTAAAAGTTAATCATATTTGTTGTATTCTTTAGCAGTTGCTTTTAGGGTTAAGCTTTTTTTTCGTAATAAAGGTAATTACATTTTTAGAAAGTAGTTCGTTGGAAATGCCTGAGTTGGATGAGCTGGGTAGGATGTGTTTTGGTAGTTAATCAAGCTCTCTATGTGTAGGTGTCATTTGATGTCTATGATAGAAAGCGTTACAACCATTGCTTTTCGGTGGGGGATTTTTTGGATAATAATTTTTCCGACCCTGAGGGGGCATTTCGAGAGGTTGGGGGGGGGGAGACTGACAAAACTTCAGGGGTCGCTAGAGAAGTTTAGAGATTTAAAGGAGGGATGGGCCTGATAAAAGTATGAACTTCTCAAAGACATTGACAGTGTCAATCATAGTTTCCTTCTACACAAACTTCAGAGATGTGGGATCCAAGGTAACACCTAAACATGGATCTCTAGTTTCTTCAGCAACTGATGCCAAGAAGTAGTGATAGACGGTACAAGCTCCTCCTTTGTGTGTGTTAATTCAGGGGTGAAGACCATTCGCAGACTACACGGCAGTGTATAGGAAAATCACTATCAGATTTAACCAGGACCAGCTGCAACAGGACTTCAGTCGGTTAGCGGAGTGGGAGATGAGCTGGGACATGGACTTTAACCCTGTCAAGTGCAAGACACTGTCAGTCTCTAGAAGTTGTACTACTATACGCTACCAAGACGAATTGCATGGTAATATACTTGAGCCAGTTTCCCCCGTAAGATACCTGGGTGTTACCATTCAAAGAAAGATCCGCTGAGATGAGCATATTAATAATGTGTGCAACCGGGCAAACAAGACCCTGGGGTTCCTAAGGCGAAATTTGAATATCGGCAACTCAAGCGAAAACGAAAAGCCTACAAAGCCTTTGTCCGGCCGTTTTAAGAGTCTGGGACCCATTCACCCAGAAAAGCATCGACAGGTTGGAGGCGGTCCAGCGACGGGCAGCACGCTTTGTCCTGAACCGTGTGCACTTCTTTTGCTGCCCACAGATACTACTTACCAGCTAAGTGCTATTTCTTATTTTTATTTTTATACCGCATTTTCTGTTGTTTTGTTCGCTGACGAAGGCTTTCTGACGACACCTTCGCTGTTTTGTTGCGTTTATTTTTTCAGGTTTAACCCTACTCTGTTTTACTCATTTTATTTCGAGCTTATTAACAATGTGTGCAACCACGCAAACAAGACCCCGGGGTTCTTAAGGCGTAATCTAAAGATCAGCAACTCCAGTGTGAAAGAAACAGCCTATAAAGCCTTTATCGCTTTTAAGAATATGCATCAAAGTCTGTGACCCATTTCCCCAGAAGAGTATTGAAAGTTTGGAGGCGGTACAGCGACGGGCAGCACGCTTTGTCCTGAACCGCTACAGGAATACCTCTAGTGTTGGCAGCAGGCTGGAAACTCGAGGCTGGTAACCCTTGGAGGAACGACGACGATTATCCAGGCTTTTCATTATGTAGAAGATAAATAAAGGTCTGGTCCACTGCTCCAGCAATAAACACAAAATCTTCCCTTCCCAAATAGACAGTGACGAGGCCATGACAGGTAGTTCCATCTCATACCAGCGAGAAGCCAGTATAGAAACTGCTCATTACTGTCAAAGACAATCAGGGACTGAACAAGCTTCCAAAAGGAACAGTTGAGGCAAAAAAACTTGACACATTAATTGCGTCTATTGCCCCAGGCCTTCCAACCCCCAAGTGCATGATTCCCTCACAAAGTAGCCCTTGCAACCAGTGAAATATTCTCATCAACACCAGGCAGAGAAACATTGCAAAACCTCTCTACATCCATAGGAGCCAAAATGACCTATACATTGATCGTGGGCCCTTAATATATAGAAGAAGAGGTAATGTTAGGTGTCGCTTAAGAAATTTAGAAACTTGTGTGTGTGTGCGCGCGAGGGGAGAGGATTATTATTAATTTTTAAAATATAAATTTTCTATTATTTAAGTTTTAAAATTAAAATATTATTTACAATTTACAGTTATAGGACTAATTTCTCATAGTGACTACACTTTGACAACACTACTGGCAACCCATATATATATATATATATTATATATAAATATATGTGCGTGTGTGTGTATATATGTCTATATCTATATATATAAACGTATGATTCATTCGGGACACATCAGCTACTAATTTAATAAAAATATTTTTCCAGCTTGTTTCCCTTAAAAGGGGTAAATGTTATATGTGATGTTAATTGTTTGTAACAGGTTTTTTTTTAAAAATGTTATTTTATTTGGCCTAAACCTAAGAGTTGGCAGCTTCCACACAAAACTATAACGAGGTGTGTGAAATTATAAAAACTATATTTTGGTGTGTGAAAATCTCCTTACCATAGTGGAAAAGGCGTTATACAAACCTTATATTACTTACAGTTGTAAAATTTTACTTTCATTTAAAAAATCCACAGAGTAAGTGACCTTCCGTGTGGATGCACTTGGCGTCCACGACTCTTTATCTCAGTGTTGACATGGTATATGGTTTCAAATAGATGACTAAGACTTGTCTGTGCTACTTTAAAACAATGAAGAAAACCTATCAAGGTTATATCAAGCTATATCTATCAGATTGACAGGAGCTTTTGTAAAAGAACACACACAAACTATTGACCACATTAATAGCATTGATTTCTAGGCTTATACCTGCTCAACAAAATACAAGCATTCGATTAGATCTGGAAAATAAAAACCTTATAGTGTCACGAATATTTATAAGACTTAATGTTGTTTTGTAAGCATTTAGCTGGAATAAAATTTGTTCTCACTCATTTGGCCCAATATAAAAACATACTTGCTATTTGAAGTATAAAAAACAATATAGAGTGGTAAAATATGTGCTGAAATGTTATTATCATTTTTTGTGCATGAAGCCAAAGAAAGGAAATAGTTATGGTATTGTGATATTTAGTTAATGTCTTATTTGTAAACAAATAAAATAGTACACAGTAATAGTTTGTAATTTGAATATGGGGAGAGATAATTAGAAAATATGCAAGAATGCCAAATTCTGAAGAGAAGACACAAGGGAAACTGTTATGTTTTAAGACCGGGGAAAATTTATCATGAGCATTTTACTAATCGCATTGGTGCTGGGACTGAACAATACTGTGAGTGGGCAAATGGCTGATCAAACTGGATCTATCAAACAATTTTGTTGATGCACAACTCGAGGTATAGAGTATGCTCGGACTATTCTGGCTTGCCTCTTGAGACATGCAGCGACTCTTCTTCTTCTATATCTTAAGGGCCCACGATCAATTTATTGATTATTTCTTCTTCTATATCTTAAGGGCCCACGATCAATTTATTTATTATTTTGGCTCCTATGCATGTAGATGGGATTTTCATTGTTTCTGTTATTGGTGTTGATGAGGGAATTTCACTGATTTCCAGTGCCACTTTGTGAGGGAATCATGCACTAGGAGTTTGAAGGCTTTAGGCAATAGACACAAATGTGTCTAGTGTTGTCGCCTCAACTGTTCCTTTTGAAAGATTGTCCCAGTCCTTGATTGTCTTGGGCAGGAATGAGCAGCTCCTATACTGGCTTCTTGCTGGTATAAGCTTGAATTGCCTGTCATGTGTTGTGAGGAGTGCCATGAGTCTCGGACCTTTGTGGACTGTTCCCACATGTGCGGGCCAATGTGAAAAGCTTTCAAATATGATTTCAGTGTGTCTTTAAAACATTTCTTCTGTCCCCCAACAAACCGCTTGCCACGTTCGAGATCTCCATAAAATATTTCTTGGGGAAAGCGGTCGTCCGACATTCTCGCATCATATCCGACACAGTGAAGCTTTTACTGCATTAATAAGATGTATATGCTTGAGAGCACTGCTTGTGCCAGTACCTAAGTCTAAAGGACATTGTCCTGCCTTTTCATGTTAAGGCTTTTTCAGAGGTTTATCGTGTGAAAGTGGTCTAGCGTCATATCATGGCGTTGATAGACTGTTCATATTTCACAAGCGTCCGTGGAATAGCGAGGGTAGCACAGCCATCTTGTAGACTTATATTTTGGGGGCTAATTCCTCTCCTTGTCCAAACGTTCTGAAATATTTTCTCAAAGTTTCCGCTGTCTATTGAATTGGAAGGTTTACATTTTCATCGATGATGACGATGTGAGACGGTGCCGGCCAAGGCAAGAGCTGTTTACCACTTTGAGCATTGTTTGACATTTACTTTGATGTTCGACTTGTTGTAAGTTTTACGAGGAGCTGGTTGGAGCAGGAGCCAAATCTTCTTTGTATTACTGGAAAGCCCAAAGTTTGTGCATGCAACCGATAAGTCTACAATACTGCGTCGCTTATCGGCCTCCTAAAACAGCCTTTTATCATCTCCCCATTCAAACCTTGTCTGAAAACTGTGTTCCTGAGTACCGTCACTCTAATTCAGAAAATAATCTTAGTATATATACTGTAATGTAGGACACTTTTTCCCCGTGCGTTAACTTTGCTTGACCCCAAATTAGATTCCCAGCAGACCCTTCCTTGATAGATGGGCGCGGCTTAGTTCCTTGATCGGTCGTGTTTACTGCCGACTACCAATTAAACATGGTTAGTTTGTCTCCTAGTACCTTGTGGAACTTTCTCCATTTGACGAGAAACGTAAACAATGTCAAAGGCTTTTATGGACGCGTCGGTAGACCCAGTATATAAATAAGGGTTTTCAGAGATTCACAGAGATTCAGATAGATATTTTTAACTTTACGAGACAAGTCAGTGTTATTATTATTTGTGTACTCATATGTGTTTATTTGCATTTCGGCATTGTACATTATTAATTAGCACATTGTACTAACTGTGTACCGGTACAAGATCTACCATACTCTGTAATTTGATGATTTTTAATTATATTTCTTTTGTTTTGTAATTATATTAATACTTAAATAAATCTTATTAATTGTAATTAGCACTGTTTTCAGTGTAGTATTTTTGCTATTTTATTTCTCTATGGTATCGTCCTTTGTTGGGCACTGGTAGAACGAGCCAATAACTTAAAACAAGAGATTCATTTCTCACAATAGGAGGCAGTGCGTAACAATATACATAAAAGGAATAAAACACTAAAAAAAATGTCCATATGTAATATTAATTTTTTTTTAATATAACAATTGAAATGCCCCTCCACCTTCCCCCCCTCCCCGGAAAAAAGAAAGAAAGAAATGGAGAAAAAAAAATTAAACTGCAATAGATAATAACAAAGTTGAATCAACAAAGAAATATTAAAATGTCTCATGCAATGATTGTTAGCGCATAAATTGTGTGTAGTCTGATTTTGTCCAGAGTGTGGCAATGGAATATTTTTACGAAAAAAAAAATTAAAAAAAAATAAATAAATAAATAAACAATTAATAAATGACATGGTCGAGAAGAGTCAATATAAAAAAAAACAAAGTCTTTTCAACGGACTGCGTATTAAAGGTGAAAATAAAATAATAATCTAATTAGATAAAGCGATAAACTATTTTCAAAGTAAAAGCAAAACGAGTAGTTGTCTCTTAAAATGAAGTATGATAGAGACAAATTACGGCTGTTGCTTATGCATCACAATCCTTTATCACTGATAAATAATTTTTGTTTGTGTAAACTTCGTATCTGGCAGTATTCACGACCTCTCACATAAATAAGCCATTTGCAAAGAACAAGGTGCATCGTTAAGTCTCAACAAGCCAGGCTGCTCGAAGACACAATCTTCATTTCCGTTTCTGTTGTCCGGCTGGAAAGTTTCAAATATGAAGGGTTTTAAAAATGGGTCAACCGGTTGCCCAGTGGCCACCCAAATGAAAACACCCTCATGGTCCAGGTCATCCAACCCAATCCAGACGCTTTGATCGAAATCAATCAACAGAAACATCAATCCATATTTTAACAAGTTGTCGGCAACGTAGAGGTGAGCATTTAGGCAGGCACACGTGAGCGTCGCGTCGGTGTAGTTAAGTGGGTGAGTGAAGTAGGCGTAGACCGCAGTTGTGGATCCATTAGACCTTGTGCTGGAAATAAGCATCAATCAACAATGAGACATGAAGACACCATTTTCAAATGTTTGATGTAAAACTTGCAACAATAAAAAATGAAACCGGCAGGGTGATTAGGATTTTTGCGAATTTTTTAATTTGTTTTTTCCCCGCATAAAAACATAAGACAATAGCCTTACTGCTGTACATGGGCCACGTATGTCGTCTGTCTGGCAAACACTATTTTAATGTGCAGGCTTCCAGTAAAAAATATGCCAAAATTTAGAGAAAAAACACAAAAGTGCAACGCAAAAACTATAATTTAAAAAAATAAGCAACAAAACAAAACAAAAACGAAATGGACATTTCGAACAAAAAGACTTTGACAGAAAGTATGCTTGTCCCTTAGCGCTGTCCTCCCTATACTTTACACTCTCCCAAAAAGTGTATTATGAAGCAAATGATTATAAAATTCCCATTGAATCTCTCTGTGGTAAAACAAAATTGAGGCAGGTCAGCACGATATTAAAAAAAAATACAATATTTGTAGTATTTTAAAACTCCTCATAAAAATACCAATCACCTTCCCCAGCAATCATTTGGTTCCCCTTTAATTACTGATTTTAAACTATTTAATATTTGAATTGTTAAGCTAACCATTTGCTCACATAACATTTATTAGACCTTGTACGTCTTCATGTAAATTAGATCTAATTGTGTGAATACCTTTTAGGTTGTCTGGAAAAATCAATACAAATTAAACATGAAGACTTTTAAAGCTTTTGAAAATGTTAAATTGAAAAGATAAACTGATCCGAACCCTGGCTTCAAGCCTTATCTATCGCCTTAAAATTAACGGCAGCGTAATCTAAATTCACTTTTAACAACAATCTAAATTGACTCTGTAGCCATAATCTAAATTCACTCTGTAACCATAATCTAAATTCACTCTGTGGCGATAATTTAAATTCACTTTGTAACAACAATCTAAATTCACTCTTTAATCACATTCTAAATTCACTCTGTAACCAAATTCCAAATTCACTCTTTAACTACAATGTAATTCCCTCTATAACCACAAAATTCATCTATGGCGTCGCAGCTCATCGAATTTCACGGACTCCACCATGCTATCAAGAAATACAAACTTTTCATCCACTCTGTCGGGTCGATATTTTCTTACTGTACAGCTTTTCTAGCTTAAAACAAAAAATTCACACCATCAGGAGAACTTTATAAGAAAATTATTATTTTTTTTTAATATTCATTTGGTAATTTTTTTTATTCCTAACAATGCACTCTACTAAAAATACTGTTTAAATATATATATATATATATATATATATACACTTAAAGCTTTATCGCAATCTAACCCTCTTATATATATATATATGGGGTCACGAATGTAGATTGACATTGAGAACTTACTTGAATTGAAAAATACCATCTCTGAAATAGAGATCCCCCTCAGTGACACTTGGCTGGGCGTTATTGGGTCTTAAGTTAGGCCCGACAGGAGTGCAACTTCTGGTGAACTTATTGTACATGAATCCCTGGCAGTCGTTTGGATATCTAGAGAAAGAAAAAAAGTTACATTCTAATAACTTAGTGGTAACTCACTGTTCTTACAATGAATTTAGCCCCAAGCATCTTTGAAGGAGTAGGCTGCCTTTGTTTTGTTATTAACATTTTTTATTCTAAATATGACTAATGGTAATATAATGTTGGTTTAAGTTAGAAAAAAAAACTGTTTAGAATTTCTTTTTATAATATCTTAATAATAATTCTACATACACTTTTCAATGTAATACTCTCAAAACTTCTCGTTTAAGAAATGTTATGTGTAAGTGGAAACAGGGTTGTAAATGATTAGTTCAAAGTTTTGCCAATAATCAACATACGAAAATTTTCATAGATTATATATGGAAATGTAAAATAAAACAAAAAAGTTATTCCCCCCCCCCTAAATCGACTAGAATCCACCCCTTTTTTGTTATAACTGTGGTTTGAAAACTACCTGTCTGCCATAACCTTTAGCACAGGTATTTTGCTGTACCCAATAACAACACACGATCCACAAACCGAAGAGAAAATACACTACAGAAATTCGGAAAGAAAAAGAAAACAGCTGAAGTTAAATTAAATAAGTTTTTTTTTTTTTACTTTATCTGGCAGTTGATGGCACAAGAGGATTTTGATTTGTCTATCCATCCCAGGCTTAATCGAGTGGGTCCACACAGTAAGTTGTTTGATTTATGAAACATGGAGCTGTCTGTTAAAGATTGTGTTGAAATAGCTAAATGGAAAAAAAAGAAATTGATTTAGAGTTTTAACCATTCATAAAAGCCATGAAACTGTGACAGTAGTACAATTATTAATGAAATAGCTATATATTTTATAAAATTTTTAATAAAAATACACATTAATATAATATATATATATATATATATATATATATATATATATATATATATATATCTATATATCATCACTCAATCTAACAATCACATATCTTAAATAAAAACAAAATATATATATATTTTATAAAATTTTTAATAAAAATACACATATATAAAATATATATATATATATATATATATATATATATATATATATATATATATCTTTATATCATCACTCAATCTAACAATCACGTAGCTTAAATGAAAACAAAATCGAACTCTTACCTAAATAAACAATCAGTACAGAAAACATGATTCCAACACAACCTTTCATAATGTCAAAAACCAAATCGCTCTACTGTAGATTGAGCCATGATCGGCTCGATACTTCTGAGATAAATATTCATCGAGTATTGTGCCACGTGAGACTAATACAGTAATCAAATGTAAAGTTATAGTATCGATTCTTTTTTCCTCTAACGTATTTATTTTTGTTTTGTTTTAGAACGCCATCATAAGACCTTGGAGGAAACCAAACCATAAAAAAAAACAACATCAAATGTACAGTGGAACAAAAGAATTGAAAGCTGTTGACTCGCCTCAAACACGCACTGGGCTGTTCTAATACGACGCAGAGTTTCGATCGTTGAGATTATTGTCAGATCAAGATTGAGCACTTTAACACCAGACATAACAAACAAATCAGTGTCGGTATCCCCCACAAGTAGTAGGCACTTATCCCGGTAGTGGATGCCCGTGAAAATTTAATCCATTAGTGCATTCTTGTCAGTTACTGGTAGGACTTTTGAATATGTTTAACATTGTGAAAAGGGTGGATGGGGTGTGACCACGATAGAGATAGGTGGGGTGTGAACTCAATAGAGATAGATGGGGTGTGAACTCAATAGAGATAGGTGGGGTGTGAACTCAATAGAGATAGGTGGGGTGTGATCTAGATAGAGATAGGTGGGGTGTGATCTAGACAGAGATAGGTGGGGTGTGATCTAGATAGAGATAGGTGGGGTGTGATCTAGACAGAGATAGGTGGGGTGTGATCTAGATAGAGATAGGCGGGGTGTGATCTAGACAGAGATAGATGGGGTGTGATCTAGACAGAGATAGATGGGGTGTGATCTAGATAGAGATAGGTGTGATGTGATCTCGACAGAGATAGGTGGGGTGTGATCTCGATAGAGATATGTGGGGTGTGATCTCGATAGAGATATGTGGGGTGTGGTCTAGATAGAGATAGGTGGGGTGTGGTCTAGATAGAGATAGGTGGGGTGTGATCTAGATAGAGATAGGTGGGGTGTGATCTATATAGAGATAGGTGGGGTGTGATCTATATAGAGATAGGTGGGGTGTGATCTATATAGAGATAGGTGGGGTGTGATCTAGATAGAGATAGTTGGGGTGTGATCTAGATAGAGATAGGTGGGGTGTGATCTAGATAGAGATAGGTGGGGTGTGATCTAGATAGAGATAGGTGGGGTGTGATCTAGATAGAGATAGGTGGGGTGTGATCTAGATAGAGATAGGTGGGGTGTGATCTAGATAGAGATAGGTGGGGTGTGATCTAGATAGAGATAGGTGGGGTGTGATCTAGATAGAGATAGGTGGGGTGTGACTTCGGCGTGAACTCGTTGAGCAATGTTAAACTGTTGCTTTCATGTCTATGGAGAATATGTTATACAATTACCGTATAATTTGTGTGATGGTGACTTTAGCATTCTAACATCTTGGGTTTGGAAGGCATCTAATCGAATGTTGACATATTTTAATTTACAATTGTTTCCTTTTTAAAACGCGTCTTTTACTTAAGAAAAAAAAAACAACTTGTTGAAATAAGTTGTTTTTTTTAACAATAAATGTATTTGAGACAGGTGGCTTGTGTCTTGTTTGTCCAGCCTGTGGGTCTCACATTATTATGTTGTCGACAATGACCACAGTATGACGTAATGTTAATTCCACACGGTCGGTCGACACTGCAGTAGGGAATATTGAACACTAATGACATGTCAGGAATTTTTCGTGCCGAAAGATCATTAGCTGAAAAATGCCTTTAAAAAAAAGGATTTATAATTATGGATATTTATTTTTTTTTTCTATTTTTTATTAGTGGTCCCACAATTTCAATAATTAGAAATAAACAATGTGGTAAGAAATAAACAATGTGGTAAGAAATAAACAATGTGGTAAGAAATAAACAATGTGGTAAGAAATAAACAATGTGGTAAGAAATAAACAATGTGGTAAGAAATAAACAACGTGGTAGAGACCACGATCAAGATTTGAAGAAATAAAATGTTGTTTGTGAATCCAGACTTTCGATCCACTTATATAAGTCTTACTGATTTATTTTTCAGAGAACTCAGCTTCATTTAAAAAAAAAAATCTGTTCTATTAACTTTTCTTTTGTTCGCTTGTTTATTTGTTTGAAGGCAACATCTCCGGAGGGCTAAATGACCCACTTGCCTTCCTCCCATTGAACTACAACTTGGCACATAGACACGTTACCGATGACAACACACTCTAAACAATTTCCAAACCCCTTACTCTCAATCCACAAAAATCAGTTTTTCTTGCCCAAAAGTTTGTTTTTTTCCCCTCTTTTTTCCAAAGGAAAAAATAAATGAATTATGATTAATTCAACGGTTGCTTGTTTTGGGTCCGGAGATTAATCACGTAGCTGTTGCTATATATTTTGTATTTGTGGCGTAGTTGGGTGTTCAGTGAAAAGTAAAATGTATTTTTAAAGAAGAAAATTATGGAAATATGAAACTTTGTTTTCGCCAGGTGATTACCCGTCAACATAACAGCTTCTTAACAAATGATAATTCACGTAGAAGTACATATATGCAAACAAAAATGTAGGTCAGGTATCCATACGCAAACTTTACATTTAGGGGTTCTTCGAGTACATTCAGAAATCGGTTCAATGCCCGGCAACGTATCTCTCTCTAAGCGTAAGCATGCATAAAAAAACCTCAGCGTGGCAAACCCCCACTTTCTTCGTTACAGTGCTCATATGACGTAATGGTATTTTGGGATGATAACTAGCTCATAAACTCTCGAAGCCGAAAAAATTGTCGAAATTCGCTCATATAATCTCAAAACCCAATAAATTTTAATGACTCGTCACTGTTGCGGAATACTCAACTCATTTTCAGCACAATCGCTGTCGTTCAGATCAGCTCCATCGTCCACCACCTCACAGTTAGCGCAACAAAACCACGAGTCTGTGCTCTTGTTCTCACTCGTCTTGACTGCTGTAGTTCCCTTCTGTCAGGTTCACCAAAACAATTCATAGAAAAACTGCAGAGAGATCAAAATTAAGCTGTTAGGCTAGTTCTAAGGAACTATTATTTTCAAAATCGAAACTGTAAAAATAAAAACGGAAACGATTAAATTTTCTGAGGGGGTATCAGCAGATGAACGGATGAATGGCGAATTTACACAGATATTTACGAGACCCCCAATTTGTATCCAATTCAAGACGACAGCGCCAGGAAACAAACTCCAAGATGGCAGTTCTGAAGGAAATAAAGCGGGCTTCTTTTTATTATTGAAGCCGTTGACAGAAGCTAATCGTTAAAAATGAAACGCCTTTTTGAAACCAACGGAATTTGGGAGAAAGAAAAGGAGACGTCATCCACGGGCAGGTCACTCTGTTTTACAACTATTTTGGACATACCCCATAAAACAGATGTGGAAGATTCCATTACAAAACGTAAGTCACTAGCCGGAAATGCTGTGTCTGCTCACAATGAATACAAAGTCAAATTATTTAAAACCCTATTGCCGTGCAACACTTGGCGCTTGGAAAGTCTGAATAAAATACCTGCACAGGTTACATAGTTAACATGACGAAAATTAACCAAAATGTCCGTTTGAAACAGCTGACCACTTTGCATAAATACAATTTCCATTTCTTCACCGCTCTACAAAAAATTGGACAAAAATTTGTTTGATGATATAATGGAACAACCCTTAAAAACAAAGATTTCTATAAAATGTAATATAAAGTAATATCGTAGGGCTGAGAATTTGAAAAAAAAACATGCATATAAGTAGCGCACTTCATAAGATTCTAATTAGGGCTCCAATCACCAAGACTCTCACAACCACACATTTTTTCGCGCCATTAAACTATATTAATATGCTAATGACTCAACCGATTTGAAGTTACAGATTTATTTCAAAAACTCTATCATTAAAAATATATATATATTACGCATCAAACGCACTCGAAATATTTTTGTTTTAAGAACCTCATTTAGCGCAGTTATCGGGAATTTTCCATCATGTTCCCTTAGAAAAACAGAAAAAAAAAGCGGATTTGAGGGGCTGAAAATGTGAAAGAAATGTGTTACATTATTACATGGTCCAAGCTCCACATTGAAGTTCATTTAATATTAATCAGTTTATATTAATCGGCCTTTTTATGGTCTGCCGTATTTTGAGGGCTCACGAGGGATCATTCTGGATCTTACATATTTGTAGAGACTGTTCGCGATGTTTCTGTGCCTGGTGTTGAAGAGAATACTTCAATGGCTGCGAGAGCGTACTCGGCGAAGGTATCAGGAACTAGGGGTTGGAAAGCAGGAGGCAATAGACTCAAATGTGCCAAGGGTTGTCCAATATTGATGGAATTGCAACTGGCCAATTTAACATTGTACTCCTGAGTAATAGTGTTGCTGAGGCTTTCAAAACAATTCGGAATGTGTGATTTTTGGTAAAATATTCATGGAAATTAATAATTTGTTTATATTTTCACAATGAGAATTGGAGAGAAAAGAATCAATCATGATTGTTGATATTCGAACAATAAACTGAACAAAAAAGACCACATATAAAGTTATGTTGATTATGTTAACACAACTGCAAAACAGGTTTTTCACCACATTAATATTGCGCAGTTTCTGTTGTTAAAACCCCAATTTAATATCTTTAAAAAAAAACTATGTTTAAAATGGCTCATGTCACATATAAAGTAATTGAAATCTTAATACCTACAATTCCCCAAGATCTGTAAGCAGTTGTGATAAGTCCAAAACAAGTGATTTTAATGAAAGAAATCCCTTAGCCTAATGGTGTCATCTCCGGCATCTGGTGTAGCTTGACTAAAGCCGCTTAAGCCAATCGATAGTCTTATAATTAAAATCAATAACTTTGTCGATTGGTCTTTTCATGCGTTTGAATAGAAAGGAACGCAGCATAGACTTGTAAATTGAGGACTGTTGGAGAACAATTTAAATCACATATTTAGATGGAACAATTTGTGCAAGACAAAATCAAACCTTAATAGTGTAAGTTGTCAGTGTACGCTATTTAACT